GAATGAGTTAGGTGCAGGCGGGAGTCTATGACATGGAGAAAAAGAGAGAGGAAATGTCTGTGAGAAGTGGGCAGGTTCCACAGTCTGGCAATGGCACACAGAACTCAGTCTGGAACCTGCGTCCGTTCCTGCGGGAAGTGATATGGCTACAGAATGTTGCACTGCAGTGACATGCTGTTGTAATCTAAAGAGTTTGTGTTGTTTTTCAGTATGACTATATGGGTTCAGAGAAGGATGTTGTAACAGACAAAATAGTCCAGCTCATTGGCTTTGTCAACAGCGTAAGTGACTGCCTGTCTCTGTCCAATTCCTGTGGGTGTTTGGGTTAATTTTGCTGGTAGCTACAACCTCACAGGGCGAGTGGGGGGCCCAGGATCAGGACTTCTGGGTTCTATTCCTGGTTCTGTCATTGACCTCCTGTGTGACTTTGCTAAGACACCTCATGTTATTCCACAAATTGGATAGAATACTTGTCGGTGTCCTACATCACAAGGGTCATGTGAGAACCTTGTGGTGCTTTGAGAACCATGGATGAAAGTTGCAGTAGGAGAAGAAAATATTATTACCACATGAACTCCAGATATTTCATAGATTATATTATTCTCTGGTGGTTATTTGAGTTCAATTTTTCATCCTCAGGATAGTAAGTCTGTAGCAGTTAGATTAAAAACCATTTTATATTCCTCACTGCCAAGGTTAGATCATTTGCCTCGAGAGTCATCAGAAACCTCAGGTACTCTCAGCCATCTGAACATAAAGGGACTTGCAATGTATCCCCCTTTAGAATTGTTTTTATTTTTACTCTGACCACCGTCGGTATGGACACTTATTACTGTTTTTATGACATTCATGAATCATTTTCTGTCTTAAGCTTCCTTAGGTTATGTTTGATTGTGTGTACAGGGTTGAGAGTATGATAAGCCTCAGTCTTAGCACCACAATCCTCCAGATGTGGAATTTTCCAAACTTCCAAACTCTGCTTTTAACTTGGGGTCACAGTGCAGTTCAAAGTATATAAAGTGACCCGGGGTTGAACTCAGATTGCTAACCTGAGTTTAAAGCCAAATTTCTGCATCCAGACTAACATTTTAACCCGAGTTAGCTAACCTGAGTTGAGAATGCACCTATTTTTTGGCAGTGTAGACATAATCTTGGTTATTTTAAGCTAACTTGGTTATAAAAAGAACTGGCTGCATTGTTGTAGCCACGCTGGTCCCAGGATATTAGTGAGAGAAGGTGGGCGAGGCAACATCCTTTATTGGATCAGCTTCCATTGGTGAGAGAGACAAGCTGTTTGAGCTCATGCAGAACTGAAGAAAAGCTCTGTGTAAGCTGGCACTTGTCTCTTTCACCAGCAGGAGTAGGGCCAGTAAAAGATATTACTACCTCACTCACCCTGTCTTCCTAATAAAAAGAACTGACAGTTGTGATGCATGAACTGAGAATAACATCATGTGGGATATTCAATATTGGTTAATTCTGCATTTCTCAAACTGGAGGTCGTGAGCAGCTTAGAGGGAGATCGCAGTATCACAAAGTTTGAGAACCTCTGGGTTAATTGAATAGCATTTTATTTTGAGAACACCTATGCGTATACACTGCCTATGCCTATGCACTCTGGCTGTGTCTACACTGGCGCGATCTTGCGCCAAAGTGGCTGCTCTTGCGCAGCCATGTATTCTTGTGCAAGTAAACTGATGTTCTACTGTATAAAATCAGGGCTTCTTGCGCAAGAACTATGATGCTCCTGCTCAGGAATAAGCCCTTTTGCGCAACTGTTCTTGCACAAGAGGCCAGTGGAGACAGGCAACATGAATTTCTTGTGCAAGAAAGCCCTATGGTTAAAATGGCCATCAGAGCTTTCTTGCGCAAGAGAGCGTCTACACTGGCAAAGATGCTCTTACACAAAAGCACATCTCTTGTGCAAAAGCACATGCCAGTGTAGACGCTCTCTTCTGGAAGAGTTTTTGCACAAGAAGCTGCCAGTGTAGACATAGCCTCTCTGTGAACATTTATGCCTATACAAATTTTGCTGCATTGGTCCCTTATCGGCATAGCTTATAGGTCTTACAGTACTATAGTGTATATCATTTAATACAATACTTGTATTTCCTCTGTTTTCAGATGTTTACACATCTTAATATGACAATTGTGTTGTCGTCTTTGGAGTTCTGGGAAGGTAGTAACAAAATTCCTACAACAGGGGAAGCTGATGAATTATTGCAAAGGTTTTTACAGTGGAAAAATATCCATCTTACTCTACGGCCACATGACATAGCATATTTATTTGTGTAAGAACATTACTTTATTATTAAAGAAGATGCACTAGAAATCTTTTAGACAGTCATTGCTTTTAGAAAGATTTTATTTATGATCAAAAATCTGTTTTTGTGCTTTAGTTACAGGGACCAACCAAATTATGTAGGGGCATCTTTTGCAGGAAACCTGTGTCTGAGAAACTATTCTGGAGGGGTTGCTTTGGTATGATATAATAGAATCTGCTTATTGATATAGTAGAATCAATATACTGCATCAGTTACTTACAGTTATGGCCTTACTTTGTAGGGGCAAATCTTGCACTCACCTCTACTACTAAGAGGAGTCCCCCGGCAATAGAATCAGGGCAGCTGTGCTGTGTGGGGGGAACAGAGAAATTATCGAGACCATTCAAAGGTGAAACACCATGAGACGAGACACCTGGTCTCAAATGCTGGGGAGGAGCATTCAGGGGATGATGAAATCGGAAAGGATCTAAAGGTTCTGCTGGTCTGGAGTTCCTCCGGTCTTCTGCTCTGGGAGCTGTCTCCAAAAAGGCTTCAAAGATTATTTGAGCCATTGGGCTTGGTAGCCATGCCACAAGATTAGAGGGAAGGCTTGTTGCCCCTGCACATCTACTCTCCACTCATCAGGAGGGTTCGAGTGAATAAGGGTTTGGGTTCAGGGTTACACAACTTCTCTATGACTTCCACCGTAGCCTGGAATGGGGCGGAGCAGTTGCCTTACAATTTATATATCATGTCTGATACCAATATCTTCGTATGGTTCAGGCAGGGCAGAAACCAAAAACCTTTTATCACAGTTTGGTTCCACAGTGGAATAAACTTTTCATACTTTCTTATTATGTTAGTATCAGAGGGCTGTAACGCTGGAGACATTTTCAGTCATCATTGCGCAGCTGCTGGGGCTAAGTCTGGGAATAGCATATGACGATTCCAGAGACTGTCAGTGCCCAGGAGTCACCTGCATCATGCACACCGCAGCAGTGTGAGTTTTTTCTTAATTATTTGTTATCTGTGTACCTCGCATAGCATTGCATTATTGTTGTGTGGTTTGATTTATTTTAGATCCAAGGGTAACCAGGACACTCCAGGGATACTTAATCACTTTCTTATTTATTGCAAGTTTTAAGCAGTTAATACAGTTGTTTAAGTTTTACAAGCCTTAAAAACAATTCCTATACAATTTAAGCCTTAAATATTATAAATTCTAAAGCAATTAATACAGCACAAAGCAATGCAAAAGCAATTAATAGGAGATCTACTATAATACAATAATAAAGCCTAATTTACTTCCACTTCACCTGTGTGCTACCTACAGTACCAGGTGGGAAGTTGTGGTTGTTTGTCTTCCCACGCAATGGAACACCACGCACTAGGCCACCACTGTGAAGGGCCTAATTACTTCCAGTTACATCGAACAGGACGTGTAGGTCCATCCTGCCCATTCCTTCCCATCGATTGTTCTTACTAAGCGCATTTTATAGCAAAGCAAGACTTGGTCCTTCTAATAATAGTTAGATGCCCAATGCCCCTATTTGGAGTGCATCCTGTCACTCAGGATGTTGCTACTATATGTGTAGTTGACAGTTTGCTTATCAGAAACAGAAGTATAAGCTTGTTTGTCCTGTGTTCTTGACGGGGTCTTGCGTACCATGCTAATCTGCATTGTTTTTCAAAACATTCCATCCTCTCACAGCTTCTCCCTCCCAAACCGTGCCTGCTCATGTGCACTAGACTTGAGACAGGCCTGAGTTTTGTGTTTTAGGGATATGTGCAGTGTTTTAAAGGCAGACATTTCTATTTATTGCCGAGGCAGGGAAGCGCAGACCCCCCACAGTTATGTAGTATATTTAGAACCGTTTTACGTGCATTCAAATGTTCTCATCCCTCTGCTTTAGAGAGTTTGTGCGTCTGTCTGTCTGTGAGTCTGTTCAAGAACGACTAAACACTAAGAGCTAGAACCACTACATTTGGTAGGCAGCTTCCTCTTCTCCTAATTTAAAGCAAGGTTAGGGTTTGGTTGTGCCAGGAAAATGGGAAGTGCCTGGAATGGGATTGTTCTCCATAATGTGGAAGGGTCAGGTGTGAGAGCAGGGACAGTTATGCTCCACAATGACCAATGAGGGCAGTGAACACAAGGGAAAGGCATACTGCAGAGTGACCGGGGTGGGTGGTGGCAAAAGGAAGAAGTGGCTAGCTGGGACCAGAGCTCTCCATGTTGCCATCCAGGGGTAAGCAACCCTCCCTGCCTCAGCTGCCCCCAGACCTCAGCCACAATCCCCCTGGGAACATCACCTGAGCCAGGCAGTAGGCAGTACAGCCCTAGCCCCCCAAGCAGCACAACCCTGCTCCTCCCCTTCCCAGGAGGATCCCCCTGGAGGAACTGCACAGTCCCAGGCCCACCCCTCTGTGGAAGCCACGTGGGCCAGGCAGCATAGTTCCTGCCCTGTGAAGACGTGGGCTGAGGCTGGGCAGTGCTTCCTCTTCCCCCTGCTACTGCATGTTATGCCCACTTCTTGCCCACAGTTGACTGTAGCTTGGGACCCACCCGCCGTTCTAGCACAGACTTGCAAACATCGTTACAAAAATCATATTTATTCCTTCTGTGAGGCAGACTTTCTGGGTATGAGGCCTCCAGTTTGGAGAAATTCTGTTAATCTGAGTTGGCCAGTTCTCTTTAATTTATTTTACCCAAGAAGTATGTTGAAGGCAAAGAAGAGTGAATTAAGAAGACTGGCTCCCTCACTCCCTAATTTTGCAACCAAAATCCTTTTTTGCTTTATTGGAGTATTTCATTGGCATGAAAGGATGCATGCTTTACAAAGCACAGAGGATATTTTAAGCGTGACATTGTGCTTTATGTTTTAGACATTCCAGTGGGACAAAGGCCTTTAGCAACTGCAGTATAGGAGACTTTCAAAGTTTCATTGCAAATGGAGAAGGCGAATGCCTTTTGAACAAGCCATATTTGAATGTATCCTATAAGGCTCCTGTCTGTGGCAACAAAATAGTGGAGGAAGGAGAGGACTGTGACTGTGGCTCGAAAAAGGTTAGGAAATAAATCTGTGAAATTTAATATGATTAAACAATTCGCAGTTCCACACCTCGAGGCTGAAGAGACACGGTTGGAGACACAAGACCTTGGAATGAGAGGCCAGCTGCAGCTCTGTAGAAAAGCCATTCAACTTTGGCATGCTATGGAGTTGCTTGTTCTCAACTTCACAGTCAGGTTTGTGCTCCGAAATAGAGCAAGCAGTTCTGTTTTCCGCTGTGTGTAGACAGACGTTCAGTGTGACATGTTCCTTATTTCAAATGCCGCTTGATTTCAGCTGTGGGAAGTGAAAGTTCATAGAGTGTAATAATGGCCTGTAACAATAGAGTGTTGGAAATCTGGGTAAAAGACGACGGAATGACTACGAGTCCTTTGTCGAAGGACAGTCGTGCCTGGTAAATGGGAGATGTGGGACCTGAATGTTTTGAACTTCAGTTGGCATCTCAGAACTGAGGTCTGCTTGGTGTGTTGGGGAGTGAGCTGAGCTGCCCTCTCTGGCATTCCTTGTGGGGTCCCTAGAAGAAGAGCCTTGGGAAGAATCAGGCCACTTGCAGTCCCAGCTGGCTTGAGGTGAGAGAACTGGACGGGCCACACTTCACCCCCCTCGGCAGACGTGTGCAGTCTGTGGAGGGCTGTGGCGCCAGCCAGAGTGGTCAGGGTGCTAGTAGCACAGCAGGCATTGGCTAGTGATGGTCCCAGTAATGCCAATCCGTGGGTCTGTGGGATCGCTCAGGGGTAGTCCAAGTAGACGAGGATGTCAATGGAGAGTCTGGGGAGTTCTTTCCAGGGGTGACTTGGCCGAAGAGCAGGCAGTGTTGCTTTTGGATACAAGGAGCTGTTGAAGGAAGGCAGATCTCTGTGAGACTGTGACATTGCACACAAGGACAGAGAACGTTATACTCCGGATTTGGCTCTGACAGCACACATGGAGTGTCTTTGGCCCACGTAGCCAAACAGCTAGCATGCGTCAGTCCTGCACTCTGTCTCAGTGCAGGGATACTTTGGATTTCTTAGAGAAGGTGCCAAGATCTGTGTGTCTGGTTCACTGCGGCTGCAGAGTAGATAGATGAACTCATCTATCTACTGCGTGGCATGCTGCTCAGGCAGGGTTTAAAATACCACTGTGACTTCAAGTGCCGATGAAATGTCAGCACAACAGCTTGCAACCTTTGGAACTGCTGTGACTACTGAGACTTCCGGCAGCCTCCTGCCAAGCGGAGTCTGCTCAGATGTCTGGGTCCTTGGCACTACTCAGTGAGCCACGAGCTGAAACTTGGGAACTGTCCTCTTGAGAGTGCTTTTGTCAGAAGGGGACGTGCAATTAACTTCTTTCCTTGGGGGAAAAAGAGACTTCAGTTTCCAGGGCCACCAACCTGGTCTCTTTTGCCAATACCAAGATGTATTGTAGATTCTAAAACCTGTAACATCCCTTTTGTTTGTTTTCATGTTGCCAACATACCTGTAAATTTAGACGAGACATCAAATGTGTCACGGGAGACTGTTGTTGGGCATGTAGGGTAAGCTATAAATTCAGAGTTTAACACATTTTCCAACTATAACCGTATCTCTAACAATAGTCCCAATACTGCAGATCCTTAACGCTTAACTTTAAGTATGTGACTAATCCCGGTCAATATTCAGAGGTATTTAGGATTAGGGCCTATTGTGCATACTCTGCCTAGTGCTTATAGTACTGACATACAGAAAGAACCAGAGAGCAAGTCCCTACACTGCTGACTATGCTATCTAAAATACTGTCAAGATGATACTGATTATTCAAGGCAGTCCTGTAAATGAGACCTAAGAAAAACAGTTGTATAAACACACACTTATCACTCTGTCTGAGCTTGGCCAGTAAGGTGCACATGCCAGTGGAGTTAAGCAGAAGCTAGTGCTGAAATGACCAAAAAGGGAATTGATCTTCACTTTGTTTCATAGGATCAGCTTTCTATTATTCATGTCATCAAAGCAAAAATTTGTTTTTAAGAACTTATTTTCTTATATTAAAAAAAAAACGATTTCTAGTTGTTTGGTTTTCCTGTTATGTGGAATAATTAATATAAATACATCAAATATTGTGATTTGCATACATTTTGTTCCTTAGGCATTTTAATTTGAGAGGATTGGAAAAATATCAATTCAAACTTGATATTTTCTTTCTCTGAGTGTTGTTCTGTCAAAATCTAAATGCTTTGCAAAATTGTGTAAATTTTTCTTAAATGTAAAGCAAAATCGAGAAAAGAATTCTGATGATATTTCAATTCTTTGTCTTTAATTTAGCAAGTTAATATTATATGCTATTCAAATAAAAATAGTGAAATCAAGTAGTTAGATCAACTTTAAATGAATCGCCCCATGCTATTTTCTTTCATTGATAATTTTGAACTGTCACTATGCTGTTCCTAATAAGAATACAGGTATCAAAATCTTGAAATCCTTTGCAAATTTCCCTCGTCACATAACTCTAGTTATAACCTTTCTATAGATCGTGCCCAGGTCCCCTCATTCACTTTCTTTCTGCTAGTTTCTGCGAAATGGTACGTTGTGTAGAAACACTGGTGAAGATGAGTGTGATCTAATTGAGTACTGCAATGGTTCCTCTGCACACTGCACACCTGACTTCTGGGTCTTGGATGGGCACCCATGCAACCGAAATACAGGCTATTGTTTCAAAGGAGTGTGCCAAACTGCTGACAAACAGTGCAAAAAAATCTTTGGTAAAGGTAATGAGGACAGATCATTTTTGTCAAAAATCTCATTCTAGTGAATGTTGTCATCAGTATTTCCACCTTACCAAGGTGGATAACTATGATTTGCCACAGATGACATCATTAAGCACAGGTACTTGAGGCAACTTGCCTGGAGGCTAGGGATGCTGTGATGCTTACCTGGTAATGGCTATCCAGTACCTGGGAGCAGCCCTCCGTGGGCGGTGGGCAGCTCCAGCACTGCTACGCCCCTACAGTGGGCTGCTGGGAGCCAGGAGCCAGCACCCCATGTGGGGCCAGAAGCAGCTGGGTTGAAGCACCTTCCCCCAGCCACCCTCCTTTAACATTGGCTCCCTCCCACATATTTGCACACAATTTACAGCTGGGGCCAGGCCTCCCAAGTCCTGTAAAAGTATGCCCTTTCCCCTCCCTGTGGGCACCCCACCAGGGACAGGATATTTGCTCCTGGTGTGTGGAGCCAAAGCTACTTCATGCTGAGTCTGGGGGCTAACAACTGGTCTGGAGCCCTCTCCTTGCCCCTAACTGGAACAGATCACAGGTTCCACATGAGGAACTTCATAGCTTCAATGCTCTGCTCCTACTCCCATAACAACAGAAACACCTACCAAGTTCTAGACGCATTTCCAATGGTATCAAGCGCCTGCACTGCCACATGGCACACACACGCTCCTATGTGGCTGCTATGGTAGAGGGCCTGCTCATCTACATGTGGCAAATAGACACCACTACCCACAGAGATATCTATTTTCCGGTAGTCTATATGCCTCTAGCCAAAATCACCCACATAAACAATTCCTGGGGGTTGTTCAACAACCGATTTTTGCTGCTCTAGATAATTGTATTTTAGAGTCATTTTGGGAGTAATGCAAAAGAGAAGGTTGCCCACGTGTTGAAGGAGGAGGCCATAACTGAATAGCTGTGAAGGAGGTCTGAGTTTGGCCTGAAGCAACCTCCTGTGTCTGAGGCCTGCGAACTAGACTAGACAATGCAGAGAACAATTCTGCACTGGCGTGTACTAGCCATTCCATCAGCGCATTTCCCGACTCTCTCTGCTGCAAGTCTGTGATGAGTCTAATGAATGTCATTGTATTTACAGCTTCAAAAAGTGGCTCCCTCGCATGCTATGAAGAAATTAATGGTCAAAAGGACAGGATGGGACACTGTGGCGTCACAAATGGGGTTTACCAGACTTGCGAATGGAAGTATGTTTTGAGAACTAGCAGTGTTTTCCTGTAGGCATAGCACAATATGAGGCATGACAGCTTGGCTGAGTGTGTACAAACTAACTTGGATTTTTAAAAGTTTTAGCCACTTTGTTTTCTGAACTCTGCTGTGGCTTCTGTATATCAGAGCGCAGAAACAAGATGGTTAAAAATGAAAGCAGTGTTTCCTGTGTTACAATGTTTGGTGATGGTCTTTAAATTGCCTACTTTCCCTGAGCATATTGGCCCAGCACTGTGACATATTATACTGCTGGTCCATTTCATCTGATGTATTAGGTAGCAGTGCAATTACTGGGTTAGGGTTTTACTGTTAGCGCCTTCTCCCTAATGGCTTCAGCAAAAATCTAGACTGCAATCCCTCTAGGGCAGATATTATCTTAATATGTTCATATAGTGTCTAGCACAATGGATTCTGGTGCCCAAAAGGGGGATTAGTGCTATTGTAATTCAAATAGTAAATAGCAATCCTATTGGTTATTATCATCCCGCTGTGGTTTAGCAGTTTACAGGATCGGTAGGAAAAGGCTTTCTTTCTCGACAGATCCCTCTCTAGACTGCCGTTTTTTTGCTGACAAAGTGCTGAGTCTGCAAAACGTGGTGGCCATTTTTATGCAAATTAGGCACGGGATAGTTAAATCCCTGCCTCGTTTGCAATGTTGACCTGCTAATCTGCATCCCTCTTCCGACATACCCTTAGTGTCTAGGGGACAACGGAAGCCTTGGAGTCAGTGTAGCCCACACAAACAAGATCTGAATTTGGCACCATCAATATTTAAAGATCAGAATTGCCAAAGAAGCACAATAGTTATGAGTAAGGAAAACTTTAGGCTGAACATCAGAATTAAATGTGTAGCAATAAAACTGTTAGATTGTGGAATAATTTCCAAAGTAACATAAGCCCCCTTGATTTGGATATTTTGGGTTGATAAAGGTTTAGATTTGAACTAACAGGCCTATAATATTGTTCATGTTCATTACCATTTAAGTGAAATTGGTTTGATTCTTTTTAAAACAATTTATTATTTTATGAGTCAGTTCCTGTAGCTTGGCTCAGTTGCATTGTATGACGAATAGAGTTAAAGAAGAAAAGAGGCTTTAAGCCAGCCACTTTAGCCTTTCCCAATCCTTTGGCAAGCCCAGTCTCTAGGTTTCTCTTACTTGCTGCTCATGGCCCTAGGGTACTATTCTGACAGCCTTACTGAGGTGTTGAGACATGCCAGCCAATCTTTCTTCTTCACCATGCCCCCAATGCCAGGAATCAGTGACCACTTGTAGACTAGGGGACAAGATATGCTGACTGTGAATCTGTTGTGCGCCAAGAGACCAGCACAAAGTAAATCTAAGCGATCCCAAAATTGAGCCCCTTTGACTGCACAAAGTATAGTTATCCCTTTTCTCAGAAATTACACTATTAGCTAATATTCTGAACTGTCAAATGCCAAACACGTAATTTTAATTTTCTTCTCCTATGTTTGTAGTGATCTCCAATGTGGGAAGTTAGTTTGTCAGTATCCGAGCACTAGGCCGTTCATTAAGGAAAAGGCTGCTGTCATTTATGCCAGGGTGCAGAATACCTTATGTGTAACTTTAGATTATATGAAGGGGCCTCAAGTGAAGGATCCAATGTTGGTGAAAGATGGCACTACCTGTGGTAAGCAAAAGGTAACACACCTTGTTTTTTGACCGTTCGCAGTGTGAATGTTTGCTGGGGACTCCTGCGCCTTTTAGATGTTGCTACTAATATTGGAGCAGCGAAAAGCCTCGCTGGCTTAATGAATGATAAAATCAGCTGCTACGTCCCCTGATTTACATCAAACAAACCAAGATTTATTTCCAAATATGTTGATGTAAAACAGGCTCTGGTAAATGGCTTTTTGCTCTCCCACAGCCTGAAAAGGACCCTTCGCTCTAGAGATCTTTTCCTATGCTTTCTGTTGACCTTCAACTGTGTGTATGTTTGGGTTTTAGATTTGTATGAACCAGAAATGTGTAGATGCGGCTGTCCTGAAATATAACTGTGACGTAAAGAAAAAATGCAATGACCATGGAGTAAGTAACAGTATTATTATTGTTTAGAATATTGTTATTGTTGTTGTTTTTATTATTATACTGTTTGGATTAATACTATTTTGGATTTGCAAATATTTTCCTTATAGACCGCCAACTGAAAAAGCAACGTTGGGCTGACACCTAGCATGCACTGTCTTTGAGTCATGGTTGATTTGTTTGATTTTTTGTGATACTTAGTCATGTTCTTGGCTTTTTTTGTAGACAATAATCTGTGGTAGTTTGCGTTTGATGTGCTTAACACACTGATGATTAGTTTTTAAGAACTGACAATTTTGGTTATAAAGAAGCGCGATCCTGCAGGGAAACTGTCTCCTAAAACCACATGTAATGGGATTTCCCCATATTTTGAGAAGTCCAACTATAAAGCATGATAAATAATTAAACAGGTTTTTCCCCCTTTTATTTCAGGTGTGCAACAACAGAGGAAACTGTCACTGTAAACCTGGCTGGCTGCCACCCAATTGCAAAATTCCATCCAAAGGATTTGGAGGGAGCATTGACAGTGGTTTCAGAAGTGGTTCGTTAACCTGGCAGATTTTCTACCATGTTGTTTTTTCCCCCCAGTGCAACATTTAAGAAAATAAGATTGGTCCTGCTGCTCAGACCAACGGTCCATCCAGACCAGTATCCTGTCGTGCGCTAGTGGCCGGGGCCAGGTGCTTCTGAGGGAATAAACAGAACAAAACAATCTGTCAAACGGTCCATCCCATCACCCAGCCCCAGCTTCTGGCAGAGCTGTGTGAACACCTAGAGCAGGGGACTGCATCACTGACTAGCTTGGCTAATAGCTGGGGCCCTACCCAATTCACAATTAGTTTGGGTTGATTTCATGGACAGAGGGATTTTTAATTGGTCAGTTTCTTGTTTTCAGATGTTTAGACCTGAAATTTCACCATGTTGTAACCCCTGGGGGATTGCAAAGTTGTTTTAAAAGGGTCCCAAGATTGGCACCCTCGCTTGCGAGCTGGGCTCTGGAGGCAGCATCCTCCCAGACCTTGCAGTTAGAGGTTCCTGGAGGTGGGATGGAGCTACCCCGAGTCCCAGCTGGAGCGGTGGTGGCTGGGGGTGGGGAGTGTATGGAAGCCACAAGCCCAGGCTGCCCAGAGGAGTGACAGGAGTGGCCCACAGAAGCTCCAAGCCTGGACTGCCCCAGGCTCTGGCTGGAGCTGCGTGTGTGCGTGGGGGGGGGGGAGGTGGTGGAAACACTGAGCCCAGGCTGCCTTGAGCAGTTACAAGTTTGAGTCCCAAAGGGAGGTACACACATTGAGGTTCTACATCTTCCGTGGGAAAAGGCAGAGGCAAGTTTAATACGATTCTTTCTTGTTACTTTAATGCAATGGATAACAGCATTTTAATAAGCAAGCTGCTATCGAATACAAGAAAGTGATCATGTGTTGTACTGTCTTGATTACATTCAGCCAACTGGCTCTTCTATAGCACAGTGCGGAATCTGAGACTCTTAATACGACAGAATGGATTTAAAATCTAATCCAATTCCATGGTAAGCGATTTTTCCGATCACAGCTGTTCCAATGCATTTCAGGCCTAAAGTGGGGCGTCCTGAACTCCTTTTGAATACCAGCTGGCAGCCGTACCATGTTTTGAACATTATTTGCAATCATCCCTGAAAGTATCAAAACATCTTGCTTGTTCAAAGCAGCCTTTTTCAAAATGTGACAATTTGGGGAATCTCACGGTTGCAGAGTTCAAGGGGTCTGTTATGTACGGAAGGCTACAGAATAATGTCTCCCCTGGTTGGAGACCCCACTTCCATATGGTACAGATCTGTGACACTTCTTCCCTTTCTAGATGCAGTCATTGACAGATTTGCTGCTAAGTTTCTGTCTCTTTCTGCCCGTCCTTGTGTGTTCTGCCGTCATGATTATCAAACGAAATGAATTGACTAGATGCTGCGCTAAGGAAGAATCACAAGCTGATGAGTAAGATTGTTTTGCTCACGTGCCTGGTTCTAACCTTTCTTTTAGGGTTGTGGGATCTGCCGGAGAACTGGGGAAAGGGGGAAGGTCCCGAGCAGGACTGTAGAGGGTGAATAGCTGAGTGGTGCTGATTATGCATACTTGTTGTGATGCCTTCTCATGTCTGGGTCTAGGGCAGGGATGGGAAATCTTTATTGGGCCAGGGGCCACTAACCCACAGACAAATCAGTCGTGGCCCACACGGAAGTAAGAACTAAAACAAAAAAGCCCCAAAGAGATTATGCTCATGCACGCACGCACGCACGTGTGTGCACAAATGCACAGAAAACACCTCTTTTTATTTAGTGCCAGCATTACCTGGCATTGCCTGGGTCATTCAGGGGAGGACCTTGGGGATGTGGTGGGGGGTGCAGGAGCCTGTTTTCTCCTCCCCCAGGCCCTCCTGCCCACATTAATGATTTGCTCTTTGTTCCCCAAAGGAAGCAGCACACTCAGCTGCCAGGTACTTCCTGGAGCTTTGAGCTCCAACCAGTGACGGAGCAGTCGCAGCAGGCTGTGCAGGATGCTGGTGGAAGGCAGTTTTGTTGACAAAATGAACAGCAGTGTCTCGGCTGATGCTTTGTCACTCGAACTTTGCCTTAAAAGCTTTTTGCCTCTCATTGAGGTGGTTTTATTTTTGGCAGCAAAACAGCAGAGCTCTGCTGACAGAAGTTGCTTCATAGTATAGACACAGCTCCCTGGTTCTGCCAGGCAAAGGCACTGTTGCCTACAAACCTGTGTAGTGTAGACAAGGCCTAAGTCTGTCTCAGCCTCTCCCCCAGCTCAGCTTTATCAGCATCAGGCATTCACAGCTCCTGGCGCACCGCCTGTGGTTGTCTGTAAGGTTAATTGTTCTCCTGGTCAGGCTTTATGTGCGTAGAGGGAAGCAGACAGTCTGACACAGGTGCCTATTGGAAAGTGCAGTATATAAATAAGCAGAACCAAGTAGAAGTAGACAGAGACTGCTAATGGATGGAATTTCTAGGCTGACTATTTCAGTAGTGGATGAGAGAGATACACAAGAGCTTGATCCAACACAAAGGAACTTTCTTAATGAAACCTGTAATACAATGTAGAAAAGAACGAAAGAAAGGCTACAAGTGCTTGCTACAAATGCTAGTAGCATTTGTGAATGTTGGATTAGAATTGCATTTTCGGAAGAGTGATGTAAGCAAAATGAAAGAGACTTGTTTAAACCGAGACATTCAGTTGGGTGATGAAATTAATAGATAAGGTAGTAGCAGTCCTCTCAAGATGGAATCAATCATAATTTCATCAGGTTATATGTTCTGATGGGTTTCTGTAGAAAGAGTTGTAATAGGAAAACTTTACAAAATCAGGTTCTCTGAGAATGCAAAAGGAGTTAAAGAAGATCGTTTGAATTCAGTAATCCCTGGGGAAAGCACTTGGGAAAGCAAAAAAGGACGTGCAAGATGTGAACGAAGACATTCCATGTCCCAGTACAAAATGGAACATGGAATGCGGCAACAAACAAAATCCACAAGCTAACTTGGAAGGTAAAGAGAAGCATGGAAGAAAATGTAGGGGCATTTTAGCACTGTGGAGAATGAGAGGGTGATTGGTTACAGAGAAAGACAAACTACTCAGGTAAAAGTAATTGTCACAATAAATAATTCACAGTATGCTGTAGAGTGATGAGACTAGAGCAACGATGCTGTGTGTATAATGTGCTTACCTTTAAGTACTCATAACACTTTATTTTATAATCTAAATCTAGATTAGAAGATGTGGATCAGTCAGAAAATCCAAGGTAATTGTCGCATTTGTTAGAGCAGTAGAACTTGCTTGGTATTTTCATACGACAATCTGTATTTGATGGTTGCAATGTGACTTTGATTTTAAAGTACAGCTTAGAAGAAAAAAATAAGCTAACAAATTTAATGCATTGATATCTTGTGTGGCTAACCCATGTTCTTTCAATTTACCAGCTGTGATTGAGAGAGATATTTCATCCACAAAAAATTTAGAAAAGTTATCAGCATCTGTAAATAGCTCTTCTGCCTTTTTATTGGGCCAGTTTTTTAAAGGTATGTTGGTGCCTACAGATGCAGATCACCTAGTAGGATTTTCAGAAGTGCCTAGTCGACTACCCAATAAGACTAGGCTTATCAGGTAGTCAAGTCACTACTCGACTTGTTGCTCCCCCCCCTCCTTGCTGCCTCTGATACAGAGGCAGCAAAGGTTGGAGCAAAAGTTGGTGCTGAAGGGAGCCAACTTAAAAGCCAGTTCCACCCAGCACTGACTCCACAGGGACGGGGGAGTTAGAGGCACAGCGGGGGAAACGGCTCAAGTGTGCCAGGTCCAGATGCTGCAGCTGTGCTTTTTAAGAGCCTGGTGGCTCTTGCTACATTGAAAAAGCAGAGCTACAGTGAACTCCCTTATCAACTAATCGAGTAGTCGGTGGAAATTCCATCAACTATTCAATTTGCTTCCTATCCACTATTTAACATCCCTAGTGCGGGCACTCTGCGATCAGCTGGCAGTAAGAGGCAGGTCCAGGAGCTGGGATGTGTGGGATGGAATGTACCACGGAGATGTACTGGTTACATAGGAAGGCAGTTCTGGGAGAGTGTGAGGGAGTGAATGAACACAGGTGAAAGGGGCCCGTGGCCAGGCTGAATCTGTAACTTCTTGACCTTTTAAAATAATATTTTACGGAAAAAGCTGCTCTGAATGTCTCGGAGTCTCCGTGGATACAGTGCAGGCTTCCCCCCTGCAGAGCAGAGCAAGCTGTGGTCACAGTACGCTCCAACACCGTCAGCCTGGGAGTCCTGGCTCCGCACCTCCCATTCCACTGACAATCTGGCCTGTTTCTTGACTCTGTGAAGATACAAGATACTGACTAGCGTGTTCAGGGTTAATCTGCTCATCCGCAGTGGCCAGTGGGGGCTGTAGTGTTAGCCCTGGTCCAAGCGCACCACCCAGTATCTTCAGGATTCAGCCACAGGAGGTGTGTCTGGTCCTCTCGGCAGGAAGGCTCCCGCCCAGGTATAACAGCAAGCACAGTTTGGTGTCTGAGGCGAGAGTGGGAGCAGTGAAAGCTGCCTTATGATGGAAACAGCTTGAGTCTCCCCTCCGACAGACAACAGATGCACTTATTATGGCTGAATTCCCAGCTACAGCATTTGCTCGCGTTGCTGTTTTATGTATTCTTGATCATTCTGTTACCAGCAATATGTTTTTCCTCCTATTCTGTCTGCCACAGTGTATAGCCAATAACACCAGAAGGCTGGAAATTATATCAGCAGTCCAGTGCTCCCAGCATGCAACCTCTGAAAGAACAGCACAACAGAAAACCAGCTTTAATTTGATTTTTAAAATTATTCCAGTTAAATATTCCCTTCCTCCCATAAAGATAGAGCGTCTTTTTAAAGTAATAGTAAGTACCGTGAAGCGAAGACTGAACTTAAATGTGTTGTGTATGTCCATTTCCTGTACAGAACCATTCCATTCAGCATGTTTATTGACTTATTCTGGTGTTATAAATTCATGCCTGTCGCAGGGCTTGACAATTTCACGTTCCTGTTTGCTAATGATGAGTTTGAATCTTTGGGGGTGAGCATTCCAGCTGTCATTTGGAGGAAGCGATGTTGGAAAGAGCCTGACAGATACAAATCAACAGAAGGGTGCTGAGTCTGTCTCCAGACAGTTTGGTGTTAGAGATTTGAGCTCCCCCGGTCCTCTCAACGGAGCACTCAATTAATTGTTCTCTCATAAACCACTAAGGAGCAAACCCCAGAAGTGAGGACTCAGAAGAGGCAGGATCATGAAGACACCAGCAGCACATCTGGCGAGCGTGTTTGGGGCGAGTATGCTGCATTCTCCCTAGCAAGCTCCAGTGGGAACACCGGTCAGCCTTGCAGGCCAGTGCCTGGAAGGCATGTAGAAGCCCTGAGGAATTCCTGTAGTTTAAATTGTTTGGTTAAAAGGTGGTCATTTGATTTCTCATAATTGCTCTAGACCTCAGTAGGTTTTTGACTTGCCTTCATTATTTTTTTTCAGTTGATTATTGAAATGAAAATTGAATATTTTTCTCTTTCTGCTACTCAACAGTGAACTTTAATGGATTCTTAGTTTGCCTAGAAAACGTTTGTAACCTTTTAATTTTGCTTTTAAGGAGTCTTCTCCTTCTTGTGTAATTCTGAATTGGATATTAATTATAAAATAAAAAGTTTTTCTAAAAAAAATCTGGAAACAGCTACATCTCTTATTTGTGCAGGGTAAATCCAGAAGTTCATGTTACCAGTTCTGCTTGGATTATTTTTACTGATGTTCAGTGAGGTGATCTGCAGAATACAATAATTGAGAACCATGTAGCTGAAGACTGGGAAATTTCACAGAGCATGTTCTTAAACTACCTCCACTTACTGGGAGAGCAACACAGTGGAGATCGATCTCCTGGGATCGATTTCAGCATGTCTAGTAAGGACCCACTAAATCAACTGCTGATCACGCTCCCATTGACTCTGGTGCTCCACCAGGTTGCAAGGAGTAAGGGAAGTTGACAGGAGACTTTCTCTCATCAACCACCAATAGTGTGGATGCCGTGGTATGTCGAACTAAGGTACGTCGACTCCAACTATGTTACTGACATGGGTGGAGTGACATGTTTTAGCTCAACTTTGCCCCCTACTGTAGACCTGGCCTTACAGTCATAATTGTATCGACACTAGAGAGTTTTGTCCGCATATCTATACAGTGGGGCTATGTCTAGACTGGCATGATTTTCCGCAAATGCTTTTAATGGAAAAGAGCATCTAGATTGGCACGGACGCTTTTCCACAAAAGCACTTTTTGGGGAAAAGCGTCCGTGCCAATCTAGATGCGGTTTAGCGCAAGAAAGCCCTGATCGCCATTTTCGCCATTGGGGCTTTTTTGTGCAAAACAATATCACGTTGTCTACACTGGTCCTCTTGCGCAAAAGCATTTGCATAAGAGGGCTTTTGCCCGAACGGGAGCAGCATAGTATTTCTGCAAGAACACTGACAATCTTACATGAGATCGTCAGTGTTCTTGTGGAAATTCAAGCGGCCAGTGTAGACAGCTGGCAAGTTTTTCCGCAAAAGCAGCTGCTTTTGTGGAAAAACTTGCCAGTCTAGACGCAGCCTGGAAGTACATAGCCAAAACCTAGTGGTAACAAGGCCTTACTCAGGTATGTCTATGCTGGCTGGAAGCTAGCTAGTGCTCTACAAAGAGAAATGGAGCCAAGAGCAGAACTAGCCACTCAGGTGTGATCCAGTCAGCGCTCATAGGGACATATTCAGTGCAGCTAGCCCCTTGCTCGGCATGGCTACACGTCTGGTTCCAGCGTGCTGTCTTCATCTGGGGGTGGTGTTTGCCTGCTGGGGACCATCTTTGCTTTCTGATACCCTCCCTGTGGGTCCTCAACTAGCTCAGCAGGACACCTGAATAGTCAGGGAGCAAGTCACATGGTCCCCTGTGGTGCTCCAGGCAGCCCCGGCCCTCCAGACTGCATTTCAAGCTCACCCTGGGTTCTGCATCGCCTGGTAAGGGGACTCCTGGTATTCAGGCGTGTTCCTTGCTGCCCCTCACGCACAACCTTCTGGTGAAATTCTAGGGAGGAAGCTGGACGCTTGGGTCCATAGTAGGGCATCAGTGAGTCCTTGGCACGTTGGGAGAGTTGGAGGCTTGTGGTGCGTGTCATAGCAAAGCGTGTGATGGGGTTGGCTGGGATTCTCTTCTGGCTATAGGCCAAATGCTGCCTGGTGAGGAGAAGACAAGGCAGCAGTTTGATTTGCATCGTTCCTATTTGAAGACCTACAGCCTCTGCGAATCGTGTCAAAACCTCTCGCGCTCACACTTTGTCTCTAGCATACGAGGAAGACAGTGGGACATGGGGAAGAAAAGCTGGTGCAGAATGGAAGAGGAGCAGGAAGTGCACACCGGGCACAGTGACCGTCCTGTAATGAGGGAAAAAGTCACTCGATTTAGTTGGGATTGGTCCTGCCTTGGGCAGGGGGCTGGACTTGATGACTCCTGAGGCCTCTTCTATGATTTTATGCGTGGGGTGGGCAAGAAGAGAGAGTGAACCTGGCAGCAGCGGCGGCTATAGGGCAGGGCGAGCAGGGTGGCTGCCCGCGCTTCAATAGGCCCCGCGCCAGCGCCAGGGGCGGACTGGCCTGGCAGGATACTGGGAATTTCCTGGTGGGCCATCTGCCGAAGGGCCAGCCAGCGGCTGGTGGGGGGGGGAGGGGGGGGGTTGTGGGGGGGCAGGC